GAAATTCCCCACTGCAGGGCACTGTGGAGGCTAGGAGTACAACATGTTCAAAAATTAGTAGGATTTTCATGCTACTAATTTTTTCCATAATGGATTATTGTTTATATAGACATCTGTGGATAACCCTAAGGCACAAATTGCTGGAGTCTGGAGAATCTGTAGGATAGAGACCATCTCCTTCCCTAACTCACTCTCAGACACTTGTGAGAAGTTATTTTCCAGGAACACTTGCAACTCAGCTTATAGCCGGGAGATGGAGTTGAAACATCATCTCCCAGGAGATTGGAAACATGGTCTGAGAAACACCACAGCCTGTTCTGCCAAAATATTCCAATGGCCTGATGCTTCAGCTTGGGTTAACACAAGTGACAAGAATATCACGCAGTATTTCAATGGAAGTGTTAATCTCAGGAGCACTTTTGACAACAGTTCTTGCCTGTGTCTCCATGGAAAACTGTGATACATTCCAATGCTAGAGTTCCTCCCATAGCTGCATTGAGCAGGTGACCACTGTCAGTCACACTAAACTTCTCTGTCCTAGTTGTTTCCAGCTATTGACACCCTGGTTTACAACAGATGTTGTTTTACCTTTTTTTTTCCTGTAATTTATATAATAGTGTCTGCTATGTCAGTGAATACCTTCATCTCATCATTCTATTAACCTTAAAATAGCACATGAAGAAACATATCACTTCTGCTACCCAGAATGAACCCAGAATAACTATTATACTTAGTATTTTAGATTATTCCTCTGCCTAGATTTAACCTCCTTTTTTTTTTTTTTGGTCCTTTGCTTGGTTAAGAGGAAACATAATTTTAAAATAAAATTTTTAAAATAAAAATAAATACAGGGAAAATAAAAGGGACAGGCAAAGACAGAAAAATTTAAACCTAAACTAACCAACCTGCAACTGCTTATAAATCACTGAGCTTGGTTCACAGACTTAGAAAATTCTCCAAAAATAAGCCTAATTCTTACCATGGGCAGTAATACATCCAAATGACTTCAGCTTGCCAAGAGTATTTTGGAAAATAGAAAGTGCTTCTAAAAATATGTCAAGGAAAATGTCTACAGAGAGAACAAGTAGATCAGCTCCTATAGGCACAACATGGCACACTTTGAGATGGCTCACTCTGCATTAGGGATAAGAAAATAAAAACTGTACTCACACTCTCACATAAGGACAGGAAGGAAATCAATAGAACTTGAGCAATAAATTAAAAACAATGAAAAGCATCCAGAGTTGCATTTAAAAAGGTTCAGTTGTGAGCAGCAGGACAGGTGTACATGCATCTCTACAAATCTTCCAAGCAAAAAAATAAATAAAATAAATAAAATAAAAATAGAATAAAATAAAAAAAAATACCTGTGCTACATTGGTGACTTTGACACAGAAGGCACCACAGAAACTTACCGGGCAAAAGAAAATCAAAGAACAGCATAACTGCACGATTAAAAATACAAATTAAACAGAAAAGACAAATAAGAGGTTGAGTTGCTGGATCGGTGGCACAACACATTGAAGAAAAATAAGGTAAATAACATAAATAGGACATCAAATGAAATATATTCTCTGTGGACTGAAACTCCACTCCCAAACAGGGAAAACATAGTATTAGGGCTATTTTGTGAACTTTCTGAATAGAATATGGATGCAAAATAAGGCATGCTAAGGAAGAGCTGAGAGGCTGTGAAGGCAGAAAGCAGGGTAATATAGGGAGATTCAGTTATATCCATGTAGAAAAGGAGCACTGACTAGGAGATCTGCAGCAACTACATTCAAGATATTATAAGTGACAGATTTTTTTTTTTGAGAAACTAAGCAGAAAACCAACAAAAGGAGAAAATATTATTATTAGTTCACATTCTTTGTCCATGCAGAAAAAATCACCATCTTGTACTCATGTAAAATACTCTTTAAGAAGCAAAGCAATCTACAACAGTAATACTTAACTTAAAAGAGAAAGTGAGGAATGCTATAAAAAAAATTAGCCAAAAATATTAAAAGTGTAAGGCAGCATGAAGATCCTTTAAAGATGTCTGTATTAGAAGCTCAGAGCAAATGTACTTATCAAAATAAAGGCATTTAAAAGCCGCCAAAAACTCACCATAGTTAAAAGGTACACTAAAGGAAAATATTAAACTTCCCTCAAAAAGTGAAAGTCAGCAATTTTCCAATTATTAACCAGTAAATAACCTATCATTTAAAACTGGACATAGTAGCAGAGGAAAAGAAAGTAGTAAATGTGAATCCTTTTAAAGAGCTCCTGGAAAACTACAAACTAGCCAGTCTTATTTCCATACTGAACAAACTGGTAGAAGCAAATAGAGAGTAAAATGATTAGATGCATAAATACCTATAATCATAATGTTGAAGACTCAGCATATTTTTGTGGAATGAAGCCATGCCTCAGAAGCCTGCTGCAGCTCTTTGAAGATGACAGCAAACACAAAGATACATACGATTTGTTTGATTTTGGACATTTGGATTTTCAAACAGATTTTGATCAGGTCATTCACCAAGTGCTCTTAAAGAAGTGCTTGTGGAATATAAACAAAAGGCTTCCCAAAGAATAATAATTTACTAAACCTGAGAGACAAATGCTAGTAATTGTTTCAATTTACCCACTGTAATCCCACAAGTCTTATTTTTGTACTTCTGTGTTTTAACATATTCAGAAAAGACCTGGAAAATGGTAGAAGCAGTTAATGTCAGAGACATTATTAAATTATCTTGCAGTTTGAAAGAATGCTGGTTAATAAGTTGCAAGAGGATCTTATGGTATAGGGGGAATGAGAGATAAAATTACAGGCAAAAATCAATGCCAATAAATGCAAACTGATGCAAAAACTGTAATACTGTCTAAAACAATGATGAGGTCTCAGATCACTTTAAGAAGTCATGACCACCCTGGACAGTTCAACAGAATAATCTTTTCAATAGTTAGTACTAGTCAAAAAAAAAAAAAAAAAAAAAAAAAAGCAGACAGACTAAGAGCTGCCATAATGTGGGCAGAGAACAAGATAGAAGTCATCATGTTACCCTTGGGCTGAAGTATAGTGGGGGGGGTGGGTATCACTGACCACTTCATGCAGATCTGGCCAACACCTCTCACAAAAGATGGAAATAATGATTAAAGGTCTAGTAGCTCACCTGTAGGAGAAATGACTGAACTGCCCAGGATACTTTGTCTGGGGAAGAGATGATTCATATGAGGGATTATAAAGACAGCTAGTGAAATCATGGGTGCAGTCAAGAAAGTAAGTAGGGATCAGTGATGTACTCTTCCCAGGTTATGGGAATTTGGGGACATCAAATATAATTATCTAGCAGTAAGCTTACTGTAAATACAGTGGATCACTTCTTTACACAAAACAGAGATTAAACTGCATAACCCATTGCCAGGGGGTATTATGGAGACCAAAACCAGAACAACCAAAAACAATTAAACAGATGTAAGGAAAGTCTTTTAAGGGAGGCTGAGCATAAAGAAGCACATACAACACACAGCCCTAGAAGTCTAGAAATGTCTGATCTTTGTGCACAAGATTGCTGCACTGTAAGATCTGATACTGCTTTGTTCTTACATTGTCCTGTAACATCCCAGGATACTAGATAAATGATATTTAGTTTTCCCCAGTAACTATTCTCATCCTTTCAATCTAGCTTTCCCACCTTTGGGCAGAATAATCTATTTACTGTATTGGGTATACCAGCAGGCTATGGTATACTTAGTAGGACACTCAGATTTCTCCTGCGGAAACTTTTTTGTCCACTATTGAGCAAAATTCCATAAAAACTGGTTCTTATAGTCCAGAACATGATGCTTATTGGGAGGGCAGAGAATCACATTTAAGGTTGTTCTCATCTGATAATTCCAAAATTTGAGAAGGTTCCTCAATGCAGATCTAGAAAGAACGCTCATGACTGGCCCAAAACACTGCTCCAAAAAGTAGAGGGAGGAACTGACCCTGAGAACCAAATCTCTGTTTCAGACAATTCTCTTGATATTGGTTAAAGGGAAATAAATCTAATTTCACTTTACAGTCAATGAAGATGGATAGATAATTTCAGAAAGTGATTCATTCACCCGAATGACACTTGTCTCAGGATGGACTAAGTTGCCTCCAAAGGCATATTGATTCTATGGAGACACTACATAACCAGTTGCAGCCAGGTACTTCAGTTTTATAGTGCTAGAGTTTGATTATGTGAGACCTTCACTCCAAGAGACGAGGAAGTAAGAGCAGAAAAGAAGGTACAGCTTGGGACAGGTTCAACACAAGTTAAGACACTGGTAGTCCAAATATCTGGCTGGGGGATAGAAAAGAGAGACAGAGACTTGCCACCAGGGAAACCTGGTGGAAGGTAGAAAAATCTATGATATACCATATTTCCAGGCTATCAGTGTTACAGAAATAATGCGGCAGTTTGTGCTGTTAGGGGAGTTGCACTGAATTTGAAGGATAATATGATGTGCAACAACATGGAAATATTGTGGGATAGACTTATATATGGAAACGCATGACTAATAATTAAAGTACAAGGACTGTAGTCCCGAGCCTCTGACCAGAACAAAGCTGTTGATTAGACAATGATAATTGCAATTAGAGAAACTGCAAAATTAGGACAGATGGTAATCGTGAAAGATTTCATTTACTCTTACACAAACGAACTTAATGCTTAACTAGGATGATTTGTGGAGAGAACCTTTTTGGATGCAATAAATGATCGCTTCCCAGAATAAGAAATCTAAATTGTTTGATCTGCAAGAAAAGATGCTATTCAGGATGCGGTCTAGAATGAAGCATAAAACTTAGTTCAAGAGGCAGAAATGGAAGGGCCGCTTTGTAGTAATGCTCATAAGAATTTCAATCCTGTAGCAAAAGAGAGAAAAAGCACAAGAGCTACAAGAGCTGTGTTTTAACAAGTATTTTGACAATGAATATTTTCACGGTGTCACCTGTCTTCGTTGCAGTAATTGCTTCTTTTTCTCACCTGTATGTACCAGCAAGAACTTGGTCACAATCAATCAAAGTAAACTTCTCCAGAACCCGGCCTGCAAACTTCTTGCCCGCTTTGCTGTAGTACGTGTCTCCACTCAGACACCTTATGCGCATGTTCTGAAATCAAAGAAAGGAGAGTTGGTAAATGACTATGCACTGAACAAAACTGGAATATTCCCTAGGTATCAACGATGGATTATCTCAAGGTGGAGCTCCACTCTGAAAGTAGGATGCATCAAGACATAAAGTATTTTCTGGCTTTTGCATACCAAAATATTTTGTCACCATGCTTCTTCTGTAAGATAAAAATGCCAGCAAATATTAATAAGTTAGGTGTAAATGTTGTTTTGAAAAGAAAAAAAATGAAAAAAATGAACACTGTAGATCATTTCTAAAAATATATGGCTATATAAAGAGGCTTTCAGTATCCGTCAGGAGTGATACATAAGATGAGGGAAAGGGAGAAAGTTTTCTCTTTGAGGACAGTCACCCACTGAAACTGGTTACTCAGAGAAGATGAGCAGTCACCATCCACAGACATGGACAAGATTAGAACAGGTAAGGGCCTGAATAGCTTTGTCTGCGCTCCTAGCTGGCACAGCATTGAGCAGGAGGTGTAACGATAACTTACTGACTTCCATCCAGCTTCAATTTTCCTATGATCATATGAAAAAAACAAAACATGTTGCTGAAAAAGAACATGATATATTGGATTTTTGGAGAGCTGTTCAACTAATCCTGTTGCCAGTCAACATGTGATTTTTTTTCTTACAATGCTAAAGTTTCAGTAGTACTAATTTTCACCAGGATGAGTTTTCTATCCTCCCCAGGGATATTCCACAGATTTGCCTGTATTTCTTCTTTATCCTACTACCTCTTGGGGGAGTTTCTCTTGCCTTGTTCATTTCTTCCATTCTCTTCTTCCTCTTGTCAGTCCAGGCCCTGCACTTTCCAAACAAGATTAGAAAAGACACACTGACAAGCATCAGTCTCGTTTGACTTAGATTCATTTTCTGGCTAACTGAAAAATCCAACAGTTGAGTTTTTGTGAACACTGTCAATTCTTGAAGCATTGCTGAAGGATTTGTTCATACAAAGTTCTTAGAAGCAACATACTGGAGGATGACTTGCTCCAAATTCCCCACTAAATCCCAAATTGTGATCACTTATCCAAATGGAGATTACCATCATATCCAGACTCAACTGAAAGCCAGGAATAACATATGTGTACTCATTCCATTTAGATGTGAATATCAAGCATGCATGTTAATGTTTCTTGACACACACCATCCTAAAAGGCATTTCACATTGAAACCTGTGGATGAGTCACTGAATGGGGGAGGGAAGTGTTAACTAGTCATTCAAACACAAGAGATGACATCAGATCTAACAAAGAGACATAGTCATCTCCATGAATGTATAGCAATGATAATTTTCATGAAAAAAAAATGACCAGGCTCTTGGATAAGAAGTAAATGAAATACATTTTGGGAGCAATGAGATTTGTCTGGATCCACCAGTTGAATTTACTGATGCAATTATTTATGAAAGCAAATGTGCTACAGCATGAAATAGTTCTGTTTAACAGTTACCATCTGAAAAGGCAGGATGAAATAGGTATGGCTTGTGAGAAACAAGAAAGGACAGATTTGCACCAACATGAGAAAAGAAAAACTCTTTTTGTGTAGACAGGTTAAGAGTGAGGAGAAATTAAGACATTTGTAAGTGCATGCATTCTGATGCTTTAAAACATTGTTTTTGTATGTTTCCATAACCTATTTAATTAATAATAGTTTTGAGATAGCTGAATAACCTACAAGGATCCCCAGTCAGGAGGCTGGAAAATCTATGAACAGAGTTGCTCGACAATATCAGTCTCATGACTCTAGGGAATCCTATTCACACAGAGAATGAGCACAAGCAGGAGTACTGGTCTCGCAGGACTGCCAAATGATATCGAAAGACATCTTCTTTTGGTAGATGGTAACCAGAAGGCTATATGGTAGTTAGAAAGATACTAGCATGCACTTCTGAGCCTTGGAGTTCCCAAGGGAGCTTGTCACACTGACACATTAGTTTTTATTATTTGCCTACTCAGGGCACCATGTGCTATTGCTAACAGGTATCTCTATGACTAGCGAAACAGGCTCTTCCTAAATTCCTCACAAACCCCAGTCACAGCCTGAATTACAAGCTTAAAAAGCAGATCCTACAATGACATTTTTAATATTTGGCTTCACACTGATGTTGTGCACCATGGCCAGGAGGAAAAGTGGTAGATTTTGCATCAGAACTTCACAAGGACTTCCGTGCTTCCCGTCCCCACAAAGTTATCTCACTACAGCAGTTCTGGACAGAATCCAAAGTTAAGCTGAGGGTTCCAAACCAAGAGCAGTTTAAGTCTTGCAGTTCAGTGTCCTAGGTCAGGAATAGCAAGGGGACAAGGAAAGGATACAATACAGGCCCATGTGAGAAGTTTCCTATTCTATCTCTGCCTATTTGCAGCAGCCCAGCAAAGATTTCAGAAAGGTCTCATTTGCCTTGACCTCATTTTTCTAGAGTTTAAAATTGGAATGAGGACCGCAAAACACAGAACTCTCCTTCCCCGCCTGTGCTTAGAGACAGACATTGATTTCCCAGGCCAAAGTCATGCTCTCTTAGCCTGGGACAAAGGGATAAGGTGGAGCAAGAGGTCCTAGGGACCAGGCAGAGGGCAGCAGCTTTTTTTTTTAACCTATTCTAAAACTTAGTTACTACGTACAAAGTATGACTGAATACTCACTGGGAAGTTATCTTGAGTCAGAGCCATTTTATTGCACATTTCCATAAAATGCTTCAAGTATTCTTCATCCAGGATCAGGTACACAGGTACATGCCGTCTGCTTGAAGCCTCCAGCAGGTCACACAGTATTTCCATGTCTGTAAACAGATCCATCACAATTGCTATCACCTAGCCAGGAGAAAAGGGATAGAGGATGGATGGAAAAAAGACTGTTGAAATCACATGAACAAGTGGATTATGCTACAGACTGTAAATCAAGTGATCAAACCCCGAGCGTTTCAGGGAAGTACAGACAAGAGTGATGACTGTATTTGGAACATTGTGTTCCAAATTCCAGTCATTACCCCACCACGGTAGATAAAAATCACTCTTAATAGCTATGAACTATAACTGTTGCCCATCCTGCCACCTCTTGTCTCATCAATCTGTCATTCACAGAAAGAAATAGCAGAGAGGGTAATGCATGTGTACAGACTTTCAAAATCAGTGGGGCAACAAGCGTGTATTGCCTTAAGTAATTATACAAAATACAAACAGGAGAACCTCAGATTGACCAAAACCATGATTCAGTTCATATAAGAATGACTCTATGAAAGACTGATTGGCATCTTAATATAAAGGGGTACCATTTCTTCAAGAAGGGAGAAGTCAAGTAAGGGAGAAGAGATCTCTATCTAGTATGTACCTGTCTTTGTTCCAGTATTCCTTTGCGGGAATCACACTTACTCACTGACTAACACAGGCAGTAAGGGACCTCTGGAGGTCATTTGGCCCTCCCATACTTACATGCTCAAAACCAGGCCAATGTCACAATTATATCCACCTTCAAAGTTATACCAGGGTACTCAATGCCTTCTCCAGTTGAATTCTGAATATATACAAAGATGGAGATTTTCACAACCTATCTGTGTCCTTGTGGCAGTGTCTCACCATCCTTATCATGAAAAACAATTTCTTAAAATATAATCAGTATTTTTCTGATTCGAGTTTGTCTCTATTGCCCCTAATACACTTGATCTGCATCTCCAAGAAGATTCTATCTATACTTCTCTGTAAACTTCCATTAGAGGTCTGAAAACAGCAAAGAGATCTCCCCTTCTCCAGTCTGAATGAACAGGTCTCTTGGCCTCTTCCTAACATGCTCCATTAATAAATAAGTTACACAGTATTTGCATGAGTACTGAGCCCTGAGGGATACCACTAGTTGAACTTTGAACCTCTAATCACCACACTTTCTAATTCGGTGATCTAGTCAATTTTTGCACACATTTTGTAGTCTAGCTATCCACATTGTATCTTATCAAGCTGACTATAAGAATATGGGAGACCATGTCAAAGTTCTTTCTGAAGTTAAGGTAAACAATGTCCATCCATACAGCTAGTCATCTCATCACAAAGATACACAGGTTGGACAGGAACAATTTTCCATTCATAATTCCATGTTGGCTTTCACAGTCATCTTTTTATTCTTCATGTGCCTAGGTATAACTTAGTGAGGTGAAGCTGACTGGCCTGTAGCTCCCCAGTCTCTCCTTCTTGCCCTTGCTGAAGATGAGTGTGATATTGGCCCTTTATAGGTATGAGGAACACCCTTCTCCCTCCCTGGCTGCCACAACCTTCTAAAAACAAGGGAAGCAGCTTTGACATCAGCTTTGACAGCAGAAATGACATCAGGTGGTGAAAAAATCGGCTTCATAAATAAAGTGGAAGAGAACATAGCTGCTGTTATACTGGCGATTTCCCAAACATCAGTGGATCAGAAAGATCAAATGGATGAAATCTATTATGAGCTATGGGCTGAATTATTCAGAACTCAGGTTTTTGTGACAAGTAGGAATCTTTAACTGTACAGTCATCTTCTGGCAAAGAAGCACAGCGGGACAGAGATGCTCATCATACCCTTGAGATGTATTGACAAGTTTTGACAGCTTGTCATACAAAAGATGAAGAAATATCTAATGGGAGAGCTCTTCTTCATTTGACTCTGTCCATAAAAAGGTAGATATTCTAAAGTGTCTTAGTGAGGGCAACCATGAAGCAATAGTTATCAATCCTCTGTGTACGAATAATAATAAAAAACACTGAAATTTAAAAAATTTATTAAAAAATTCTGTCTCAGTTCTGGAGAACTGCAAGATAGGAGGTTAAAAATGAGTTTATTAAAGATAACCAGTAATTCTTTAAAGAATGAGAATGAATGTAACAATGGTAATACAGTCCATTGTGGAAGAGAGATGGGATGTAAGGTAGGAGACCATCTCGGCCAAATGAACTACAACTCCAAAAACTAGAATGAAAAAAATGAGAAAACGGAAGGTAGGTCATGAGATGTGTCAATACTAGTAAGTTGTCCCAGAACAAGAAAATTTAAAGGACCAAATGACCTGCAGCCAGTAGAACAAAAGAGATCAACCATAAAAAGATTAAGATGTGACTGGAGAAGTTGCCGCAGTCTTCCACACAGAGGGACCCTGCCAGAAGACAACAGCAAGAAGGATGTTATTTTGACCAGAAAGTGACAGCTGTGACCTGTTGGCCATGACTCTTAATACTGGTGGTGGGGCACATCTTGAAGAAGGAAACTACAGTTATGAAAGCTGAATCAGATGGCTAGCCAGGCCTCACAAACTTTACTCAAGGGTACTTGCAGAGTGGTTGGGTAACCTAGACTTCGAACCATTAACAGTTGGTATTGAGATTGCAGGGTAATATGGTAGGAGAATGATAAAGGTGAAGTAAACCAGGAACTGCAGACAGGCTAGCTTCATTTCAAAAGCTGAAAAAATACTGGAACTGCTAATCAGGTACGCTACTCCCAGTACTTATGATGTCTAGCAGTAAATAACTGTTTGGAACTTGTAAGCTGTTTGTATATCTTTGCTTTCAAGTTTCTGCATCAAGTAGAGGATGTCCCAATAAAAATGATCTGACATTTCAGTGAAGCTCCAATGGCCCTTTCTACTCTGCTCCTCAATGTACATGCCCCATACTATACCTGGCACGCAAAATCCATGACAGAGCTTTTCCCTGCTGCCCATGATGCAGCCTATGGCGGGGGGGGAGAGAATCTTTTTGATGGTTTCCCTCTTCTGTCTGTGTTAAAGCATAGCCACAAATCTCTGCTGCTGGAGACACCTGCGGAGTGGGCTCTGCAGACTGAGCTTTCTTGTGCCACTTCTACTCAGCTGTTCCTCTTTGAATAAAAATTTAAATGCTCATAATGGCTGTAAGACTGACTTGCAAGTGTGCAGGAGTTTAGGCGTTAAACTAGACACTGGCTGAATCAGATTTATGGGTCTGACCTTGACCAGTTGCAGAAAAGAGGAGCTCAGAGCATTGCTGAACCAAGGATGGGGGCACAAGCTCACACCTCTGCTGCATATCCACAGGTTGGCCTCCATGGCCCTGCTGAAGAGATTAGCTCTCCTTCTGTATGTTTTCCTCTGGGCGGAGCAGTGGGTTGTGCTGGCCTCACTGTGCTCTCTTGCCTTATGCTTTGCTTAACAGGCTCGCAGTCCTGTGCTTCGCGTACACGCTGCCAAAAGACACCTCCTGCATTTGGGGGGGTCAGCAGAGGTTCCTCTCCGAGAGGCCTGTTCTCTTGTGGATTTAGCTCTTAGCAGATGGGCAAGATTGCTTGGCTCCATCTGAAATTTCCCCAAAGGCCATCCCTGTGAGGTACTTCCTACAGGAGCTGTGCCTGCCACCATGCTGGTGCCTAGCTGTCTCTTCCTGTCCGCACAGCTGAGGAAACTGCAGGCACAGCATCTCTCCCATGTGTTCTTGCTACACCCCATGCACTTGGCCAGCACTTGTCCCATGTGAAACTTACTTGCACAAATGGAAAGCAGAGTCAGCTCCTGGGAGAGGGAGGCTCTGTGAGCAGCAAGATAAAAGTATTTGGCTACCCAGATCAGCTCTGTTGCTGGACCATAGACATTAGCTAGTGCTGTGACACATAGAAAGAGCAGGACTTCACTATGTCTTTCTCTGTTAGCTTTCAGCCAAAGACCAAGGACTGTAAGACCAAGCAATTTAACCAAATGAATTCTGGGCTGCCCATTTTCTAATGTGGAAGCATAAAAAAAAAAAAAAAGAAAAGAAAAAAAAAGCCAAGCCTTATACAGGACCCCAGGCAAGTCACACTTGCCTCAAAATATCCCAGCTTATCTGAGGCTTAGTCCTGGGACAGACTTGGCCTCAGAGCCCATCTAAACTTGACTTGAAAAGTCAAGTGGGTATGAAGCTCCTTCAGCTCTAGGCCCTCTGGTTTTAGCTGTGCCATGCATGTCAGGTATGCATGGAAGGAATATATCCAAGAGTTTATATCCACCGGTGTTCTGACAGTGCTTGGAGACTTCTTTGTCAAAAACAAACAAACAAACAAACAAAAAACCCACCACCACCACCAAAACAGGCCCAGGTGCTTGCTACGGGGAGGATGAGGCCCAGCATGGCTGTGCAGGACAGCACGGGTCGCAGTCACCTGTGGCACTCCATGCCGCAGGCTGTGACACAGCACACTGCCAAGCAGATCCACATCTCTTGGCAACCCCACGGTAGCTTTCTGGCATTGGCACTGGAACAGCGCCCCAGGCAGCAGGGCTCACACTTGCATAAGTTGGGTGGAGCCCCACATGATCCTCACACTCATGTTTTCCAAAGTGGGTCTTTGCTTAGCATCGAAAGGTGGAAGAAGCGCTGGCTCTGCTCACTGCCTCTTCACATGTGATCCTTCTGCAAGGAGCGGCTAGAGTAGGGTTGCTGTGGCGGACCTGGCAAGCACTCACTGCTGCTGATGGCCACGGAGGCGGGAAGGCTGGCGGCCTTGCAGGAACTGCGGTTTGCAGCAAAGGGCATCGTGATGGGGTGAGGGGACAGAACATGCCCTGCCATGGCTTCATGCACTTGAGAGGTAGGTGTCCTTGCCAGGACATCCCTCCAGGCTGGGGGCTGCTCATACTAAACCCGTGTGCTGCAGGACAGCCATGAGGGCCAGTAAAATCAACATATCCTCCTCATAGAATCATAGAATCATGGAATGCCCAAGGTTGGAAGGGACCTCAGAGGTCATCGAGTCCAACCCCCCTGCTCACGCAGGGTCACCTAGAGCACGTGGCACAGGGCTGCGTCCAAGTGGGTTTTAAAGATCTCCAAAGAAGGAGACTCCACAACCTCTCTGGGCAACCTGTTCCAGGGCTCTGGCACCCTTACAGTGAAGAAATGCTTCCTAAAGTTCCTGTGGAACTTCCGATGCTTCCGTTTGAAGCCATTTCCTCTAGTCCTAGAGGAAAAGTCCTAGGAAAGTCCTCTTGCAAAGTAAAGAATCATAGAATCATGGAATCAGTATGGTTGGAAAAGACCTTCAAGTTATCTCAAAGATAACTTTGAACAGATCTATACCAAAGCAGAGATTGAGTAAATATCATTTCCAACTCAGGCTCTGGACAATCCATCTTAAAAAGCCTTAGGCATTTCAGTCAATCTGGCCTTATAAACCCGGGCAATATATGTGCAGTGCTTTCAGCCCCTTGGCCCCAGTGGTGGGCACTGCATGCCTGGGGTTGGCACAGAGATGTCCTGTTCATGCCAATCATGGCCTCCAAGTCTGCAGCCAGTCTTGACAATCTGGATGCCACAAAGACACAGCTGCCCCACAGGTTCTAAAAAATTAACACTTTGCCATTGTAGGGTTAAATCATGACATTTCTGAACCCACTTCTGGAAACTCACAATTCAGCAATTACTGCAGTCATCACTTTGGGAATTACAGCACTTACCAGCATCCCATTGGGGTTGCCATCTGTCTGGTTTCTAACCAGCCTGGCTTGTTTTACTGGTATTTGCCAATAGCAGTGTGGCTTTGGTCATTACCATAGTGTTGCCATTGGAAGCAAGGCATTACTTCCCTGAGGAACAGCAAAGACCCTTCTATCATTGCATGTAAGTACAGGCATGCAGCCATTGACAGAGTTGCACAAGAAGGGGGAAAGAAAAGCATAAGAACAGCTCAAAATAGCTTGGAACTCATCCAACACAAGTGAAATTGTAATAATGTTAACAAATTAAGGCTAAGGTGTGGCTGTGCTGCATCTTCTTACGTCTGAAAAAAAAAAAAAAAAAAAGCTCAAATCTCAAAATGTACCTTCAGACAGCTGTTTAAATATAGTAAAGATATAGTAAAGTAGAAAGACAAACCGCACTAGCAAAAGGTACCACTAAAACAAATGCCTGCTTTGATGATTTGGCAGTACAAAAAAAAATACTTGCCAAAATATGTCAGCTGATGTTGTTGGTATGACTGCGCAAGAGAAAACAGCAAACAACATTTCAAGATGCACATGTTCCTGTCCACAGGATCCAGAAGAATCATTTGGACATCTCAGTATCTTTCACAGATCCCACTGCCTCTCTACCCCTCTTTTATTTCAGTTGTAAGCATGTAGAAGAAGAAAAACGAGAAATGGATGCAGGGAGAATTTACTGTCTGTTGCAGAAGACATCTGAGGCACTGTGCTGCAAAAACAGCAGTTCAAAGGTGAAAAACAAGTGGTTCTCTGTCAGGTTGCTTTTATCACTTCAGGCAGAGGATGTTTTAATGCTCTGTTTCTCTTTTGACATTAAAACCTGTACAAGCAATATTATTTTGGATATTCTGACATGCAAAATGACTCAGTAGACTACTTAAAGATGTGTAACTGTGGGTGTGACTTAGCTGGAACTGCTGTCATACCTAGAGTTAATCAGGGGAAGCCCTGGCCAGATCTGCTAAACAAGAAGTCTGTTAAAACACCAGTAATGAACGACTAAGGTAAAGCTCATTATCCCATTTTACACAGCACAGTCAAAAATGTTTTATGAAAACTCCCTGCTTGAACATAGATGGTTGAAAATTCTCTGTGCTTTCCCAATGCACAAGATGTACAAGAAAGCTCCTCTGTGAGGGCATGTTGCCTGTGCAACCTCTCGGCAGCTATTGGCAAGTTCATGCAAACTGAGAAAGCAGTAGGATATTTTTCATGTGGCTTAAAGCATCTAGGTGAAACCAGCTGACTAAAACATAATCTCTAGAGACCTGGGACTTGCGCTGAGCAACCAGAGAACGTTTCCTCAGGAATCTTTTACTTTGTGCATTTGACCATAACTATGCCTTAATTGCTGTTTCTTCCAATGACGCAACAAGTGTCACAGGACCTGTCAGATTGTTTGGGATGTCATAAATCAGGTGCTTGCAGGGATAAACAAGGATTTTTATGGTTTACTTCCTGCACAAAACTTCCCATATTTGCCTACAAAGGTGCATTCAGGTATTATGCAACAGCTGCTTTCAACTGGGCAACAGTTCATGTTGCAAAATGGTCGTCTTTGCTCTTAAAAACCCCTAAAGATCCCCATTTACCTGACTACCATGCTTGACTTTCAATTCAATGATATGTGTTTGTTCAACTATGTTATGAAACTGCACAGCAACATGAGCTGCAGTATGGCCCCAGTTTGATCTCCAGGGCACAACATAACCACATTTCTCAGCCTTGTGGATGGCGATAGAAGATGCTTTGGTTTGTCTGATCTGACAATGGGCTTGTTCTTGACACAGCTGAAGTCCAGGAGTAACAATTCTTTAATGACTGATTTCTGTGCTGCGTAGTAATAGATTTAAGGAGTGACTGTCAAGTTAAAGAAACTACTAAAAGTGATAAGAGAAACTGCCCAGGAGTTGACTGATTAAAAGTGAACTTTGCACTAGAAGTTAACTCAATAACCCTATGCTATTGAAATGGCGCAAAAGGAAATGAACGGGGGAAACATGAAAAGACCCATAAAGAATACAAAGGTAATAAAAGCTGAAAATGTATCTGAGATACAGCTGTCTGAGCTGCTTATCTAGTACATCGTAGAATAGCAAAGTAAAAGAAAAAAACAGCATAATTTAGTGACCAAAACCACAAAGGATTGTGCTTAAGAGGCAAACATTGTCCAGTCTTTATTATGCCTGAAACCTGGCAATCCACATACAGCAAAAAGTGCATGACAGGGCAAAAACGGGTGCATTTTATTCAAACTCGGGCACAGACATCATGGCTAGAAGCTACGGTGATGTTGTCTAAACTACTGCAAATCTGACATGCTCAATGTTAACTCAGATCCAGTGTTTTCCCCCAGCAGCTCATCAGTGCAATTCTCTTGCCTCAACCCAAGCTTAAGCATGGGTCATGACAACCATGAGGCCCATGGTTCAAGACGAGCCCTGGCCACACAAGCTCCCTGGGGAGGGCAGAGCAGCTCTGATGGTGCACGCTTGCTGGCTTAGATCACTTAAGCGTTAATGCTGCGCACCCTGCCACTTGCTCTGGGCCCTGGTGCCATACTCTGCCTACATGCAAATAGAGATGCAGAGCGTCTTAAAGGGCACTGCCCATATGACATGAAATCCTGCACGGAAAGAAGTTACAAGAACAGAAAAGTGCAGGAATGCTTACAGATCTGCTAGAAAAAAAGAGTAATCACATCATGACAGACATCTAGAAACAACAGAAACAACAGCTTGCCACTGTTGTGGCCACAACCACACAGGAGCTGTGGTACAAGCCCCCACTCAAGGACACAGCTCTGTACGTACCGTTCGTGCCCGGCTGATCAGGGACCGAAGCAGATCCTTAATGCTGTTAGCCTTGTTTCTTTGGAAAACCACAGTGGCTCTAGTCTGCCCTGATGTTGTGAAGTATGGCATCCCTGGCCACCCCAGCTCCAGCTCTGGGGGGTGCACATCAGACATAAGTGGAAAGTAGGTGCCAGATGTTAGCTCAGAGTAGAGGGAGGACTCATCTCCAGTGTCCATGTCAGCACAGTTGGCATCTCTGTTTTTTGAGGCATTGGGTTCTGGAAAGGTATGGCTTCTCTGATGGTTTATATATTCCATGTCCAAGGTGGAAAGAAAAGGCAGCTCCCGTTCCTCGGCAACGGCATTCAGGTATCCATGTTCCCCCTGCTCAAGAAAGGCATCTATGGCGAGTCTAGCTGTTTCACTATGCTGGAGCACCAGCGGAGTGATGGGCTCTCTCCACCATGGCTTCTTCAGCTGCTCTAGACGGGTCTTCAGTGGACCAGATGCTCCTTGCTGGCCCCCGTAGGTACGGTGGAACTGGGGCCTTGCTTCTACTGCTAGGTAGTTGAACATTACCAGAGTTGTTGATGCTGAGAAGTGCCTCTCCAGTTGGACAAGTCCTCTGACAGATTCCAGGACTTTCCTGACCTTCTCTTGCTCTCCTGAGCTGAACCTCCCAACAGGTTCCTTCAGAATTCAGCATGAGCTCCACTCCTCCGCTGGGGAGTTAATCACCAGGTCCAGCCTTCCACTCTGGGGGAGGAGCTGGCCTTCCCCAGCTCCTTCACTCAGCTTCACCAGCCACGCTCCTGATACTCAGCGCTTAAAGTATCCCTTTTGCAATGGGAGGGAGATCATCACTTCAATTTGCACCTTCCCTTTCCCTGTAACTGATTCATACACTTCCCTCCCCTTCACGTGGGTGACAGTCTCACCTTTGGCCAAGCAGGTTTTAACTTGTTTTGTCCTTCATTGTGCTCACAGTGGAAATGCAGACGTTGCAACTTGTTCTTGCTTGAAAGCTGTTCGAAATCAAACAGGCTTCCCAGTGGCGGCTATAATGAAATACAAATATCCTGAGCAGGTAACAACATTAGGCCAAGAAGCTCATTCATTGCTGAACTGTATCTACTGCTTACTGCTCAGCATTTCCTGGGTACCTGCCATTTGCCACACTGGCACCCAGCAGAAAAGACAAAAGCATCTTTTTTTTTTTTGATATGACAAGGCCATGACATCTGTATGAAACATGTCAGGAATCTTACGCACATCATTCAATACAACAGACAAGCAATAGGTCATTTGGTCTCTAGGCATCTCCCTCAAAATTTTTCAAGGAAGGGAGTATTCAAATGCAGGAATCTGATAAAGTGTTCTTGATAAATCTATCCATGGGCTGGATATTTGGGGGATTAGTTAACTCCAGGCATCCAGAAGTATTAAGGAGTTATTTTGGGAGACTCTAGAGGCAGAGGCTAAGAGGGAAGTTAAAACACTGTGTTAGGGACCCATCGGTACATAATGGATGTAGTAAAAATTCTGCATGTGAGGCAAATACAAGTCCCCGGACTGCAATCTGAACCTCCTCCAGTCCACTCATCTCACCCTGCAGCTACTAAACTCTACAGATGCTAACCAGACAAAAAATTAAAGCAAAGCATGAAGAGTTGAGAGGCTGGAGAGTTGATGTAATTAACTAGACTTTTATCTGTAAAATTAAATAAATAAATAAAAACAAAAAAATTATTCATGATCACAAAATCACAGAATGACACAGAATGGTTGAGGTTGGAAGGGACCCCTAGAGATCATGTAGTCCAACCTTCCTGCTCAAGCAGGGACACCTAGAGCAGGTGGCACACAGTGGCATCCATGTGGGTTTGGAAGACCTCCAAAGGAGACTCCCGAACTCTCTGGGCAGCCTCTTCCAGGGCTCTGTCACCCTCACAGTAAAGAAGTTCTTGCTCAAATGTCTGAACGTGAAATGTCTGATCTCTAATGATCACCAGGCGATAGTCAATGCAGACAGACAGACAGCCATGCTCAAGAGTGAAAAAGCACGTTCAAACACTGAGTTCTAGGACAGCTGGGATGAATCACATCACTCTCTCACTCTCCGTCAACTAAAAATGCAGATAAATGATTTGTTTAGATTATCTTTTTAATCTTTAGATTGCTGAAGTTAGAATAAAGACTCTTACCAGCACTGTGCAAGCATAAAGAACAGAAGCCAATGTATATATTAATCAAAAGTAACCTGACAGAGATGTGTTGCAATGAAGGCCGCAGAGAGTAGGTGCAGAGTGAAGTGCTGTAGACAGTAGATGTCGGTGAAAATAATGCTTTGGGTATAAAAATTTAATAGGTGCAAATAAATGCTGCAGCAGTCTAAAACATAATTTACAATGGTGAGGTGAATAAAAATAAAATATAAGAAAGTTCTGTAAGGGAAGGGGATGTAAGATAGATTTGAGAGGCCTTTCCCTGGAGGTGCTTTCCTATAGGGCTGCATATTAATATCATCCTTCTTTTCATCTTCTTAAAGAGTCCAAAGGACTACACATTTAAAGGAAGTCACCAAATGTGTTTTCTGCCAGATATCTCTCTGCTTCAGGTTCTGGTACAGTAAAAAGCTGGTGTTTGGTCAGGATCTGCTCTCCCTCCAGTAATTTCTCATGGACCTCAGCACATGAAAGCACCCACTATGCAAATGTCTCCAGGCAAGCTCGTCAGCTTGGCTTTCTTCAGTGGCATGGGGAGGGGCAGATGTTGTTGAGGAGTCAGTTACCTCACCCTAAAGCAGACATCTGAGGCAGGCCAGATGATTTGTGCCATGAAAGTATTTATCTATGTCCACTGAGTCTAAGGAGAGTGAGCTCACGCTGCCGAAGTCAGTGGCAGAGGTTTAGTGTGGAGACATTTAAATTAGATTTGAGATATCTTGTCTCTATCTTTTGGCAAAGAGATAAATGTCTATAATTGGTACTCTTCCGTTTGATGGCCAACACAGGATGTGGGACTTAGACAATTTTTGCTGGTTACAACCAGCAAAAATTCTTCTGGTGAAACATATATACGGAATTCCACTCCCAAGTGAACATCCATAGGCAAATATGCTCTATCTGACTTCTGAGTCCAGATGGAATCCGGGAATTAGTCAGTGCTTCATCCATGTGCTCCACTAGAGATATTTTTGGAGTTCATCAAACACAAATATCTTGACTGGGCTTCCCACAGAATATGGCTGCTACTTCCTCTTCAAGCACACATGCAAAGGAGCCTGCTACCACACTTCAAAACAATGCGGTTCTTGGAGAGCACTCACCTGGGAAGCTGGATGTGCTTCTTCTCACCTTTCATTTTCAGCACTTAAATCTACATCTCCCACTATACATCACAGTGTATAAATAATCACAGTGTATAAAATTCCAGATTTGCTGGCCAGTTGGAAGCAGCAAGAGTGAACTTGTTTTATTCCAGCAAATATGGCATGCAACTGAATGGGAAAAGTCTGAATTTTAATTACTGCACTGAGATCTTTGTCAATATTGAACTTACCAACAGAGCAATGCGAAGACAAATATCCCAGTTGTTGATCTGAGATTCCTGATCATGGCACTACTGAATCATTCTTTCTGAACATAGCACGAGCTCCTTATTTAATTTTTCCCCCCATTTATATGTCAAGGCTCTTCCAAACCAGGGGAGATAAAATTTTGCACCCACTCAGCTGAAAGACAGGACTGAACACTTGTTGCTAGCTATAGGAGAAATGATCCAACAGCTAGTGATCACAGGGAAGGTAAACATCCTTATCTCCTCTGGTAATTCCCTGCTCATTGGCATGCCCAGCACACATGCTCTTGCTCAGCTGAGACTCCTATATAGCTTAAGTCACATCTCCCAGTGCATGGCCACCAAGTCATTCTGTGTCGTTTTGGTGTCCAGCCTCAGCTGCTCAGGACACTGATTCACAGCTGTTGGCAATGTGAAGCTGTCATCCAATACAGGTGCCCATCATCTTTGCTGATGCCTTTCACACTCCAGAACTGAGACATGTAATACTTGCATGACGGTTTCAGTTCCAGCAGACTCAATTTATACTCCACAGTTCTTTCATGAGTTCTCAGAACATCCAAGCTGACCAACATGCTGTTACCGTTTGTATCATGGCAGGAGGAAGTGCATTGTAAATACAAAATAAATACTTACTAGGGTGAGTGCAGAGAAAGTACTGGCCACCTTGGTAGAAACCTGATTTTATAGCAAGAGCAAAGCATCATAAAATGAGAACAACAATCCCAGGTCTGAGGCAGAGCCTGCAGAGCCTGGGTGGTGTCAGTGCTTGCTATAACTTGCAATCACCCCTTAAGGAAAGAAAAGCAGACTTTAGACAACACAAGAATTTGTCATGTAAATCCCATCAATATTTCTTGCTCACCACCCAGGGTTTGTTCAGTGGTCCTGCAGAGCCTCTAAGGGCTTCTGTGAACTCAGAGATAAGGAGAAAAGTGACTACAGTCCTTGGAAAAGTAGGAGGCTTATGGGAAGGACCACAGCCTGCCTCTTCTCCAGGCTATTGTTCTCTAAGTGCCAACAGGTGGTGGCCAACCTGTGAACAGAACTCCATGTGAAAAAGCACTTTCAGCCATTGCTGCCTTCTCTCCTTCCAAAGGAGATGCACAGAAATGGAATTGGAAATTGTAGTTTAAGTAGGCATAGCTTCAGACAGGAAGAGGGCATGAAAGGAAGGATGTGGGACAATGAGCAAATCCTCATGGGATGCCCTGCTTCTACAGGATGTGGAATAGCCCAGGCAGCTAGCAGGTGGGATGAGGCATTTACATGATCCCTGTTCACTCCTTTAGTGAGTGATGTAACCATTAATGAAAGCTTTGCATTTACAAAACTCCTTCCTTCCTAAACAAGCATGAAAGAGCCTTTGCCTTCTTGGGATAGAGAGGATCCTGCTCAGATAGGATCCTGCTTCAACAACCTTTTTACAGTGTTCTCCTACATGAAAGGAGTTCACACTCCTATTCCCATATACAAGAAAATGCTTTCATTTGGCTGGCCCATGTCCCTCAAACAGATCTACTGCCATTTCCCCTAAACTCAGTGGGTGCTGCCAGCACATCACATATGGAGCAGCCACTGAAATGCACCAGTAAAGGCTAGGATCATGCTTATGTGAGCTCCTGCTCTGTATTCCCTGTGGAAGGATGAAGCTTGGACATCTACTCTGTTCCACAAATGAGCAGAACAAGCTGCTGAGCAGGTTGAATGACTGTAAGCAAAACAAATACTCCCTCAACATGTTCAACAACTTCAGAAAAACATATGTAGGATGCACAGAACAGACACAAACAGCTGAAGAGAAAGCAGGAAAGAAAATCTCAACAGAGTAGCCTGGGAAGGATCACAAGGCTATTAACTAATAACCAACAACCTCTTCACAGTGCAGGAGGCCAGAGAGCCCAACAACAGCAGGGGGTGAGATTCCCTTCCTAAGCATTAGAGGTGAACTCCTCAGAAGAACAGCACACCTGCTTATTCACTGGGGACTACCACTCACACTTGTTAAAATTGAGAGTCTTTTCTTGTGTCCTTGCCAACCTTCTCAACCTGCTATGTACACTTCTAGCTCTCAGATTGGCTGAGGTCAAGGCTGTGCAGTCAAAACAGGTCCAAAAGATGCAGATAGTGTTATCTGCAGTGCATGACAGTGCATGCTGCAGAGTGGTAGAAGTACCACCACCCACACTACAGGAAGAGGTTTTCATCTGTCTTTTGGGTAGCAAAGGCACAATCAAGTCTGCTCAAGTTCTGTTCAGCAGCAAGCAGGAGACAGAGGTTTATCAGTCTCCTGTGAAGAAAAGAGGGGGAAAAAAAGAGTTTTGATTAGAGTTCATGGTGCAAAAAGAAAACAGAGATCAGACACTGTAGGTCAACTGTAAACAGACAGATGCAGAGGGCAGGGGCCTAGATAATGGGATGATCTACTAAAAAACTAGTAATCACCACTATAATCCAGAAAAAATACATCTACTAGAGTAAGACCAGAAGCATTCATCTACACTATAGCCTGAGAACTCAGAGAAAGTCACAAGAGGTGACCACTGCATTCATGGCACAATTCTATTAGAAACATGAGAAAGACAGTAGGCAATTTCTAGGTATTGGTGTGAATGCCTATCACTCCCAACACAGTATTTTCAATATTTTCAAAAATATTACCTTGATGGAATAAAGCACACACAGTCCAGGTTTGGGGCTCAAGGAAACGGATGAATTGTTCAATGTATTTGTACAGAGGAGCAATATACTTCTCTAAATGCTTGCAACAGTAGTTCAGCACATCTCTAGAGTACAGATGACCTTCGTTACATGCTCAGGATTGAACTGGTCCCACAGAATGCCACAAATTGACTGCACCACATCTGTGTTAATCTGAGTCTCTGAAAGCAGCTCTCCTCTGAGGTTTTGGAAGTAGGAGAATGTGTAAAAATATGGAGGTGGGTCAGAAGGCTCCTGGGCAAGATCCATCTTCATGTGGTTCCCACTACTCTTCCAGAAAGTGTTACGTAGTGGCATAAATCATAGTGATTTATGCTTTCAGAGCCTTTCACAATCCTCTCCCAACTATGTTCTCCCCTCACCACATTACTATTCTATATCTACTACATTAAAGCTCCCGTGGAAAAATTTGCTCTTACTCAATGTCTAGTTTCCCTTTATCCTTTTGCCAAGTGAAAGACAGGATAAATGGGACAGGTCAGTAGTTAAATCCCACTGATACGTCAGGAGCTGCAACTCTGATCTGAGGGTTTGGTATGATAAGAACATGACTAAAATCTGCTCTTTGTTTAAGGTGAGGACAAGATTTAGAAGTCCGAGAAGTGGTAACTGCTCTAACAGGGCTTGGGTACCTCGACAGGAGATGTGGAAATTGGCAAGGATGCCAGTGCTTTTAGCACTTCTGCTGTCTACAGGCAGGAGGAGCTAGATATACCACCCAAATGGTATATCTAGTGAACACAAAACAAACAAACAAACAAAAAAGTGAACGCAGGAACAGATTAGATGGCATCAACTGCAGTTGGAACTGCAGCCATCCAATACCCTTGGATGTCTGAGCTATGTCAGATGACTCTCCCAAGCTCAGGTTGTCTCAGGCTGAAGAGATCCTGTGAATGTAACCTTGTGAGCAAAGCACACACCTACTCTCCCTGCTGGAACAAAAGCAGCAGGGAAAGACATTGACTGATAGCCCTTGTTTTCTGCTCACAAGTACAAGAAAGTATTGCAGGTAGCTGCAATAGCCAAGTGCTTCCTAGTGGCTGGTGTTTCATGACACTTGGTTAATTTTAGAGAGCAATTTCTTTGGAATAATCAGCAATATTTGAATTTGTTATGTGAGACAGAAGGTTGGGTTGGATGATAAAGTATTGAACATGCCTGAAAAGAAAAGCCCATCCATACATTCACTGAAAATACATTAAGTGGTGTCAGCAGATGCTCTGAGTCCACTCTCAAAAACAGCAACATAAACAAAGCAGCATCCAAAAGTAAAACATCTTCAATTATTCTCTCGTCAAGATCTTGAAAATGAGAAAAAGATGGATTTTTCAACATGCTGGTTGTAAAATATCTGGTTAATAATACTCAGGGTTCAGTTCTGCACACTTACCTGCTAATCATTGCATTGTAAGATGCAAATGCTCCTATTGAGAATATAAACTTTCCTCAAGAACTCTATAAATTCTGGCTGTAAAGACACCTCTCATAAGATAATGAAAACAGGATGTTTCTGTACTATTGAATTACATAGCACTCTCACAGTCAACACCCAAATGCTGTCTCTAGATAAGCAATGTCTGGGAAGCCCATGAAGCCTCCAGCGTGTTCTTGCTTTTTAACAGTCCTCCTTTGAATTCACAGACAGTCTCTGTCTTCTCTCTTAATATGTTCCACCTACACTTCTCTTCAAAACACACCTTGACTGCTGGCACAGTTCTGTAACCGTGGGGCATTTTAAGGCATTTTATGAAACAAGCAACGGTTGTTTGTAAATCAGACCTTGACTGGAGGTCTTTCTATTCTCATATTCATAAAAGTGCCAAAGTGCATGACCACAACTGGGCACCATGATTGTGGGAGACTCTCACCTCCTCACATAAGAAAGGTTTTAATTGCCTATCTGTCCCACATTCACAGTACAGAAAACACCACCATCTCAGACCAGTGTTCCCATGAATCCTAGTTTGCAGCCTTCACAGCTTCAGTACCAGAGATGCTACATGATCTCAGAGCTGCACGCACTAAGTCCTCTGGCTTCAAAGTGGGTGTACTCCTAATCCTGTGTCCCCATGGCATGGATAATATAGGTACAGGTTTAAATATCATAGCAGGAAAAGAGTTAAAGTTTAAATGACTGTTTTGTATATGAATTAATGTATATAGCTTTGAGCCAAAATATCTACCATTAATTTTTCCACCTATTCCAGGAGCAGTAAGATACACAAAGTGAAGTTTATTTTGGTACTTCGTATACTTCATTCCCATTAAAAATAAATTAATCAGCAAATTCCTACACAGCTCAGCCTTCTTTTATGTAAATACAACCCACCTGTAATGAATTACAAGGTGTTATTATCTCACACACACTGTATAATACTTCACACATAAGAGGTTTCTCTGCTTAGCTCAGCTTTCAACAAAAGCATCTTAAATAAACTGCAAGCAAGTTGTTTGGTCTGTAATGTTTTCACAGAGATACACCTCACACATAGAGGGTTTCTTTACATGACTCATTTTATAACAAGTTAAATTGAGGAAGTTCACCTTGAAAAAGAGAAAAAACAAAAAAAAACTTAAAAAAAAAAAGTACTGAGAAGGAGATTTAAAAAAGAATGCAGCCCAGCACTTAGGAGACTATATTCTGCGTGTCATGGCTCTGCACACAGAAGAGGGACGCCTCTATTGGGAGGGATGCGAATATTCACCGAAACATACAACCCAAAGGAAGCAACATCAAAAGCAAGAGCAGTTCCAGCCAAGCACAGCCCCATCAGAAATAACAGTACTGGATCACAAATGAAGAATTAGCCTCTTTTTTTTGTTGAACAGTTTTATTAGGCCTAAGTCCTAATATTATAGGCTTTGTTCTTATCAGGAGCGCATCCGGCATAGAAAACACACACACTACAATTTTATCCAGATTGACATTTATTATGGATTAGGATTTTCAATATGAGAGAAATGCAAACAGTTTTTGTCACTGACTGGGAAATAGCCCAAATGAACCATCCACCTGCACAGTACCCTTCAGCCGCTGCCAATTTAATCAGAGGAGCGATAGCTCTCATAATTGTCACGCAGGGATAATTTGCCTGTGCGTAGGTACTGGGGTAGACAGGTCTTTTCAGAAAGGTCTGGACAGCTACTTTGAGGTCCTATCTCAGTAAGAGCTGTGAACAGAAATGGGGATGCTGTTTTCCCAAAGAAATAACAGCAGCACAACTCAAAAAAGAATATGAAAATTTTGGCAAGGCAGATCACCTCTAAAATACCGAGTAGCCTGAGGTAGCTTTCAGTGGCAGCCCAGCTATGTTTCAGACTTTATTTCTTGGTAGGATGGCTAGAGCCAGAGATGGTTAGGGAGAATGGTGCCTTGTTCTTGCCATCCTCATGCCCTTGTGCAACAGCGCAGAAAGTTCCTAAAACGGATTTTCATGGAAAACCCCTCAGAATCCATAAAAGCAATTCTCAAACGCTATGAAAGCAAAACCAGACCGTTCTACATTAAGGTCAGGCTTTAGGAACATATTAATATCTAATAAGCAAAGCTCAGATTTGGATTCACAAATATTTTGTGAGTGGAGGATCAGCACTGTGCCAGGCGCAGTCATTCTCCAGGGGAAGCAATGTGGAAAAAGGTCTTCTTGAGAGAACAGGAACAGCTTCAACTCACAGGAAAAAGTCTGGTTGGAGCCTGTCTGAGAGGACCACTTGGTGCCATTGCAGCGACAGAGGTTCTTGAATCAACTAAGCATTGAAACACAGGTGAATGTTCAGAGGTGGACAGATGTCCCATTTGCTACTGAGTCACTGAGCCACAGCAAGGGCACCTATTTCAGTATATCCAGTCAGTGGCAGTTGTTGCTTCCTACCCCCACCATGCCACACCAGTCCCATGGGAGGCAAGTGTTGCCTGAGGTGATGTGAGGAGCTGACACTGCGGATGAGAGGGGGGCGGCTAGGAGAGCAGGCTCTGGGCATCCCTCAGAGCCCCTCGTCGTTGTAGACAGGGGAGAGGGGCTTCAGGAGACTGCGGGCGTCGCTCTCCACCAGGGGCCGCCAGCTCACCTCGCCCGTGAGCAGCAGCTCCTCCCCGCTGAGGGCGTCCAGGTGCTGCACCTGCAGGGACAGCGAGGAGTGAGTGCCAGGCAAGGACCGCCGCGCCATGCAGCGAGGGCTGGGGGCAAGCCCGGCATCACCCCCTGCTCGAGCCAGCGTGCAGCAAGGGCTGGGGACAAGCACGGCATCACCCCCTGCTCGGGCCCACGTGCAGCGAGGGCTGGGGGCAAGCCCGGCATCACCCCCTGCTCAAGGCCACGTGCAGCGAGGGCTGGGGACAAGCCCGGCATCACCCCCTGCTCGAGCCAGCGTGCAGCGAGGGCTGGGGACAAGCCCGGCATCACCCCCTGCTCGAGCCAACGTGCAGCGAGGGCTGGGGGCAAGCCCGGCATCACCCCCTGCTCGGGCCCACGTGCAGCAAGGGCTGGAGGCAAGCCCGGCATCACCCCCTGCTCGAGCCAATGTTGCTGCCGTGAGCACAGCCGTGCCAGGCTGATCCCCTTCACCAGCCGCTACCCGCACGGAGCGCTCACTCCTCGGCATGGTTTCATACAGACCAGGGAGTGACTAGCAGGGGACTTTAGAGATCTGGAAAAGCGCACCCAGTTGCAGAGACGGCATAGTGGGAGGGGAACAAATGGGAAACGACTACCCATCCACACCACACAAGAAGTGGCATCAAATGAAATGATAAAGTGCAAAGTAGGCAAAAAGCTCACAAACTTTTCACACAACATAGGCTAAACACATTTATCACTGTGAAATTTGTTCCCATGGGACACTGCATACACTGGAAGTCTGTAAGGGTTTAAATGACTAGTCCATCAAGGGACTATTTAAGCACAGAAATACCACCTCTGGTTCAGGCAGATTGGGAATACAGCTGGCTAGGACTGCTGAGCAGGGAAACAGCACACACGCGTGCCCTGTCATTATGGTCTTCTCTGGGCATCCACTAATAGCCACAGTGAAGGACAGGGCTAGCAAGAAGCTGCAGGAAAGATTTCTTACTCAAGGGACTCCTAGCTTCCTGGCCACAAAAAACAATGTGCCTAAGGATTTCTCAGCAAAGAAAGAATATAGCACACGGGGGCCGTACAGGGTCAGACCGGAGTGCTGCCTAAGCACAGTATCTGTTTCCGAGGAGGGGTTAAATACTACGCATACCTACAATGCTGTTTTCCTTGTTTATTCTCCCTCCCGAGATTTGTTAGTTCAGGCATACTGAGCCTGAAATAGTGATTGTACATTTAATAGCCCTTGATAGATTTCTCTTTCCTGAACCTCGCCTGTGTCTTTTGAAATCCATGTTATATTTTAGCATTCCCAGTAACCTGGGGCAACATATGTCTTCTGGTTCCTGCATCAGAAGAGGCTTACCAACCTTTCTGCAGGCATAGCATGCTAAAATAGCTGAGCTTGGAAAAGACCTCTGGAAATTGTGTGGTCCTACCCCATCTTGCTTTCCATATGCCTTCAACATTTCACAGAGGTGCATCATATTATTTCTCAGCTGTTTTTTCTCAGAGTAGGAAGTCCTAGTCACTGGTAATAGAGAAGCTGTTTCATATCAACCTTACTACTCTTTTCAGAACCTTCTCCAGTTCAGTTTTGTATCTGTCTTGATGGCTGGGACCCAAACACATTACACATTATTGAAGACGACGTGAATTTTAAAAAGTGGCATGACAATATAAGGTTTTATGCTTTATTCCCTCAAGAGCTCCGAGCCTTTGTTTTGCTTTAACACTGCCTAGGACTGAACTGACGTTTTGATAATCCAAATGAAATCTCAAGGGCTCATTGCTGTGTAACAGTAGAGAGTTTAAAGCTCATCACTAAATATAAATATCTTAGATTGTTTTTTGTCTCCAAGTGCATCACTTTACTATTAGCTACACTTACCTTTATCAAAAAACTTTGTTTTATGATTTATTTCTTCAATCAACCCCTATGCTTACTGCCACAAGTAGCCCAGTATTAACAAACTGTCACCTCACAATTCACCCCCCCACTTCATTTACAATATATTGAACAGCAAAGTCCTTCCCACCCCCAGTCCATTAAATCGAGTAACAACCTCTCCTCTGTCGAAACCTGACAACATATTGGCTTCCTAAACGCTGATATTCCCATTAGTTACTTGTCTATGGGGACTACATTTGCTCTACTGTAATGGCTACCTATTTTCTTTTATAAGTCTTTGGTGGAAGTTTCCCAGAACTTCCTAGAAATCCGAGACAGTAAATCAGATATTCTTTGTCCACAGCATCAGTAGCTCTTTCAAGCAATATTACAGATTTGTGAGGCAGGACTGGCCTTCAGAAAAGCCATGAACATTCTTTCTGGCCTGCAATAGAAGGAATGTTGCCAGCAGATCAAGGGAGGTGATCCTGCCCCTCTACTCAGCTCTGGTGAGGCCAGGCCTGGAGTACTGTGTGCAGTTCTGGGCTCCCCAGGACAAGAGGGAAGTAGAACTTCTGCAGAGGGACCAGCATAGAGTGACAACAATGATTAAGGGACAGGAACATCCCTTTCCCTTATGGGGAAAGACTAAGTGAGCTGGGCCTGTTTAGCCTGGAGAAGACTGAGAGGGGATCTTCATGTACAAATACCTGAGGGGGGAATGTAAAGAGGATGGGCCCAAACTCTTCTTGATAGTGGCTAGTGACAGAACAAGAAGTAATGGGTACAAATTGAAACATAGGAAGTTTTATCTGCAGATGAGGACTGTACTTTGAGGGTGACAGGATGCCCAGAGAGGTTGGGGAGTCTCCTTCTCTGGAGTTCTTCCACAACGGCCTGGATGTGACCCTGTGCCACGTGCTCTGGGTGTTCCTGCTGGAGCACCCAGATGCCCAGGGACATTGCACTAGATGATCTCTAGAGGTCCCTTCCAACCTCAACCATTCTGTGATTCTGTGAATATGCCATATTTATCTGTGTGATTGCAGTTTCCTATTTGACTGCTGATAGCTTCTGTCCTGTACTTTGCTTGAGCTTACAGAATTGCTATTACTTCCCAACTCGTTGGACAAATTGTCCCAAATTTTATGTTCTCTGCATTTGTTTTCCACCTATCTTCAGTTTTAAACTCTCCTATGACCTACTTGATATTAAGAATCAGTTACCTGAAGCATTAAGTCTGTGCCTCCTGAGGAGCACTCTAGCATTCCAGAATGGCTATCAGTCCCTGACAAATTTGAGCCTTTCACTTCCCATACCATTTTGCCAGACATGCATTGAAATACTGTATCTTCAAATATCTATCAGGTCTTGAATACTGTGTTGGAAACATTACAGTTAATGCTACTGTAGAGGTCACAATCTTCAATTTCCTGCCCAACCAGCCTACATTTTTCCTCCAGAACTTCTCTCTCACCCTTTCTTCTGTCTTTGGAATTTGTCCTGGCCTACATCCAGCATCTCCTGCCCTGCTTTCTCCTAGAAACATGGTTCGGAAACCACACAATGGAAGACAGGGCACACTGTTTACTACTTTTTTCCTCTAGGCATGAACTGAGAAACAAAACTTGCTATTTATTATCCACTAAGTTCACCAGGAGCCTTTCAACCTCTGGGGCATATAACTATGAAGAGGTGTAGATAACATTCCCTCTTAAGAGATTCCAGGGGTTTAATGCAACTTAATCCCTTCATTACAACAGTCTGAATTTAGGCTGTAGTAGAGGCTGTCAAAAGTAAATTAAATGGCCTCGGCAGATACTAAATTACAGGAAGTCTCATATGGTAGAACATTTTGAAGGATGTCTCTGCAACATGAAGTATAAGATTTTCTCCTTAAAGATAACAAATGAGTATAAAATCCACCTATATTTAAAAGGAGATACGTAATATGCAGACAATAAAAAAAAAAGTAAAGTAAATATGTAATATCCTTACAAGAGGATGAAGAAAGGCTAGTCTATGAGCTGTAGAATACCTGTTTGCGCACATACTCTACGAGTAACTCTAGATGCCTGGGGTCCTCACAGTTCCTGTTAAAAAGGTTTCGCCAAAGGGCTGCTGCCAGAACATGATCATCAGACAAGATTCCCTAAGTAAGAAAAGAGAGGTGATTAAAAACTGCACATGAAGAGGCAGTTAACATAAGACAAATCCATTCCATTATTCTATCTACTTGGCACTAGACAATACTAAACATCTCAATGCCTGCAGCTACTGTGGTCTGTACCTGTGAAAAGGCATCAAGGTCATTCTTTCCCAGAAAGAATAACCTTTGACTTGAAAGAGTCCAGGTGCTCCATCCTGTAACAAATATCCCATCAATCAGAAAAAAGTAGGTGCGTTACCCTAGGAGGGTAGATGACCATTCAGTTTCTATAGTTTTTAAATCTTTAGATTAGGCCTTACACTTTACAGAACTGTGTGAAGCCAGGAATACTTGAAATACTAAAAAGTTAAAGATACATAATAAGATGTTCTGCAAAAGCAATCAGGACTTGAGTGTTTGCCTCATTCTAAATGAATGATAGATTTTTTTTATCATCAGGGACAGATTTTTTTCCAGCTAAAGCTAATTTCAAATGTACACAACAGTCACATCCTTGAGAACTTTTTGTCTAAATTCTCTTCAGCTTTGTCTTTCTAGATGAACCAGTGCTATCACCAGTGTCTCATATCCCCTGTCTTCTGCTGTCACATTTACCAAAGGCAAGAGAGGACTTTAAAATACAGTTAAAATAGGAAAAGTCAATATTTGTCTTTAAGTTAAACAGACATTTTGCTTCTAAAAAGATTGTCAACAAGAAGAGGCAGACATGAAAAAGACAGGCAGACACATCCTGGTTGTACTTAAAAATAGATTAAAGGAAAAATCTGCATAACATACATTGTCCAATACTCTATGAAGTTTACCTTTACAAGATATTAATAATGCAAATAGCCATTTAAAAAAGAAACACCATGTCATTAAAAAGAGTATCTGTAGCAAAATTCACTAGAGCAGAAAATTAACTACTGTAAGAGCTGACGCAATTGTATTTTCTATTTGAAAGTCCCATTGATACTTAAACACAGCTGCCCAGGGTGGCAAATATTTAACCCAACTGCAACATTTTCAGTTTGATGAATCAGATGGCCTATTTGCTCCTGCTCATTCAGTCAAAATACCCTTCTTACCTCATCATAACCAAACAGAGCTGCATAGAAATTTTCTACCATACTTCTCAAATCTTCTTTTAAAGCAGAAGAAGTAATCTGAAAAATAAAAAAAGAAAGCCATCTGAATTGGTTCTAAGCTGGTGGAGATGATAAAAAGCAATTACCAATTCCACTCTGAGAAGGAAAAGAAAAAGGAGTACTCTGGTCCATATATGCTAGGATTCAACTGTAAATTGTGAGGTTCATGTAGTCAGTGTCTTTAGATGAATGTACAATACCACTCCACTAGTTCTATATAGAAATAAAAGTCAGAGTAAATATTTAGTTAGATTATACAAATAGCAGAAAAAAATCCATGGCCAACAGTGCTGACAACAGCTACCCAAGCAGAGGAAAAAAACTGCAGCAAGGCTCTCCTTTAAGTGGCAGCATAGGCTAAAATAATGAAAACTGCTCTACAAATATTTCATCTATTAGGCAAGTTTTCCAGACCTCGATTCATTCATATGTATCTTTCAGAAACTCATAAAGTTTTGAATATTTATTTCTAATACACAGACTCCAGAGCTAGACATGCTATTACAGTAAAAGTACTGTAAAGCTAAAGATAGAGGTCCCATCCCTACCTCTAGTCCTTAATTACTTGTCAATATTGACTTGCTCATTCAGAAATTACATGAATTCTCTTTCAACAGCATCTCTCTGGCAGCTCAGACTTACTAGTTGGTCACTATGACTAAGTTTCTTTCAGAGTTGGGAATTCTCAAGCTACATCCCCATATGCTGTATGACTTCGTCTGTGTTCCACACCTACTTAACTAAATTTAACAGTTGCTTAAATATTTGCTGCTTTGGCCTGAGCTACTCATTAGCTTTCAGAATTGTGCTCTGTGTGAGTTTAGGTAGAACAAAAAGAGATCTCTAGGTCCAGAGTGATGGCTGGAATAATTCACATCCATCTCATCTCCTCCATGCCAACTGGCTACTCCTTTTGTCCATGCTTTTTATTTCTATCAACAGAACCAGCTAATAAGGAGTTTCTCACATGAGGGCAGAGCTCTCCTTCCTTTGGCAAATATTCCTCTTTGTATTGATACAGGACACATCTAGAGAGCAAGCATTTGTTATGTACAGACCTTGCATGCAATGTAAGTATAATCTGCACGGATAACTAGCTGCAATCCTGCATGTTAGCAGAACACTTACCTGTGAGACTGCATGCAGGGACAAGATTAAAAAAAGAAAAAGAAAAAACTGCAAACAGGAATGCAGGATAGGAAATCAATTCTAATATGGAATGAGCATTACCATTGTTGACATATAGTTTATCATAAGGTTAAAGAAAAGTTGTGAAATTTAACATATAAACCTTAATATTTATGACAAGGTGACTCACGTGTTCTAAATATTTTCTTAGTATTCTCAGTCCTTATGCAACAGCTTCCTATCAAAATGTGAATTATTTTGCCATACTATCAAATCTCCAGTTCAAACACGATTCCATTAAACTGCTGTCTTTTTCATCAGTTGATTTTTATATTGAAAACACAAGGAAAATTTCTTCATGTCAGTTACTCATATTTTTCCATTAATATAAGCTATTAAAATTCATGCAAATATTTTACAGGCCATCAAGATTTGGCAACCTGCTATTATTAAATGTTTTTTTAAAAAAAGAACTAAACATAAGAAATCAGAGGGTTAAATGATGACTGTAACTTCTGTAATGACTTAATTAAATTTTTATTGAGTACATAAACTATGATGTCATTTCTACCCAACCATGCTCAAACTTTCTGTGCATGTCAGAGATTGTGGTTTTTCTCAATAGAACATACTTCTAAATAAGCTGCACTTCTACAGCTCTAATAAGGGGAGCAGGTCTCATGTAACACACTCAATAAATTATCCTTCCATTTTTAAACAAACAAATTCCATGAGTTATTATATATTTGCCATGCACTTTTTATGACATAATAAAAATGTTACCTCAAGGATTACTTAACACGTACTACAAATGTTATAGCAGGCAACTGCAAGGGGCAAAGAAAACAAATAGTCCCATTACAGAGACAAGCCCTGGACTATACATCCCTAGGGAAGGAACCTTCTATTCTAAAAACAAAGAGCAGCAGCTTTAAGTTAATAAGAAATAGACTGATGAAGAAGACAACCAAGTTAAACAAACATGGCAATAAATACATCTTAAAGACAAACAGTTTAAAATATAAAATATGAATTTGGGCATCGAGCAGTATCTTAGGCATTAAAATTACTTTTAATGGAATATTGTTGTTTCTGAAGAATACAATCAGAGTTGGTGCAATTATTATAGTAAAAAATGATTTTTTAACAGAGTAAGAATAAGTAAATCCGAATCTCATTATCATTTGTAGGAACGCTTCCTCTTTTCAAGCCTGACAAACGTTCTAAGCACTGGTGAGCTTCGTCATCTGATTCCTCATGATTTTGCTGTCTCGTCCCACTGCTCACTATTAAGTACAAAAGCTTCTAGACAACTCCAAGTGTTTCCTTGTACTGCTAATACAAGGAAAAACAGCAACATCTGGAACTTTCGAAGGACTTAGCCACTTCGCCTTCTTTGGAAACAACCCAATGCAGAGTTGTCAGCAGAATAATTTCTGTAGCACCAATACGGTGGAAAAAACTCTAGTGCGTAAGTAGGAATGCATTTATTTGTACATCTCTCACATCCTTTGAAAAAAGGGAAATATACATCTAGCACATCTTCCTTTTACACATCACCATATTTCACTGAAGGACTTCATGATCCCACATTCTCCTTTTTAAGGCTACACTCCCTACATTCTTGTTATATTATGACGAGAAACCTCAGCTTCAGGCCCATATGTATTGCTGAACATACAGATATGGTGCCTGTTGCTGTATCAGGGAAACTACAAACTCCAGGCTCAGTTCAAGTTCTGCACTAAAAAAATTTCCAGGAAGACAAGAACACACCGCTTTATTGTATATACTGGACATAAACTGCCTTAGATATTAGCAATTTTTTTAACGAACACTACTACATGGCAAGTTGACATTCATCTGTTGGTTGGATCAAGAGCATGTTTTCATAGTGAATGTCCATCATCCCTTCTTAGGTTGCTCCAGTTCAGAGACGTCTCAGAGTGCACAAACTTGAGTGCTTGCTCTGATGTGCAAGAGGCGTTCAGTCCACAGGATCAGAAGTGAACTAGCCCAGAGTAAGAGTCATCCCTGTACAGATGGGACTTTGGATCCTCCACTGTTTCACTCAACGAAAGTGTCCTTGTTGAGCCACTCTACGTGCTAGCAGAGACATAGCCCCAGCAAGCACAGGCAATGCTATTTCAAAGCATTTTAACAGGAGTTTCTTGTGATTTTGCCTTTTACCACCATGTATTGCACTCTTAAGCTACTTTATCTCTAAGGCCAGACGGGACACTTCTAACCTCACCTTGTACAAGCACCAACCACTGATCTTCATGCAGCAATTCCTCTCTTTAGGCTGTAAGTTATGGTTGAACTATATTTTTTATGAGAGATTCCAGCCAGAAGAAATGGTTACATCACAGAACCTGACTCTCAGCATACCACAGACTATTACCTTCCCTCAAGTTCCTTCTACTAAGCTCAATAAGTTGTGCTAGGCTAAAGCATATCACCCTCACAGTTGAACATGTGTATCTCATTTCATATTTGAGTTTTCTGGCTTTGTCTTCCACCCTTTCATTTTCATTATACTATTCCTGCTAGAATAAAAAGCTTCTTCTGTACATTTTATTTGCTCCTATATCTTGCTTAGTAAGTGTGCCACAACAGTAATCTTCTCAAGGTAAGATGAGGCTCTTTAAGATAGTGTTTACACTAAGTGCACTGATACACTACATCATCAGAGCACTTTCAGAGTAGCCAAAGCTGTAATAGCATTTTATTCTGATTCAGTAAAATTAGTTCATCTCTTGCGCAAAACCAGTTACACAGGCATGAGTACACTTTTGTTGTTATGACTGGGTCTGCTCTGGGGCTCTGGGGACTTGTGCTAGCCACACTGCCATTAACATGAGTCAGCCCTATTTACACTTTTGACTAATGGAGCATATAACGTCGGCAGAAGTTCCTGCAGGAGATACAGGGCAAATCTTTCACCATAAAACATTTTTGTCAGTCCTCAAACATTTAGGCTTTTTGCTGCACCCTCTCCAAATTTGTGTTTGGAAAGAAAGGCTTATAATATATGGTTTACATTATAACTATAAATAATATAACTATATATAGTTCTATAAAGGCTTTTTAAGTGTTTGCTGCCCTTTTAATAAATGCACATGACATTAAGTGGGAAAGACAGCATACAGCCCTTTTATTTCCTTCAATAACATGACTATTACTTGTAGGACAGTAATTTTGAAAATGACTGAGCTATGTAACTAAAGATCAAAAGGATTAAATTAATATAAAGAATTAAAAAAAAACTGTGCAGGAATGGGCCAAAAAGCCTAGTTCCTCGAGGCAATGTCACAAAGCTGTATAACTGACAAAAATGCTGCTGAAACTAATTTTCCAACTTTTTTCTTACATTAACCATTCTGTTACCTTGCCTGCAAACAAGGTCATGCTAACTAGATTATAATCAGCTACAGCTGTCATTCTGCATACACTTTTAAAACTATATTAACTTCTTCTTTGATAAATTCTCTAATGTTCTAATCAAAATAAGTTATTCTGTAATGCACCTCAGCTTATGCTTAACTTCAGAGCATGTTCCTTAAAACCATCTTCAGTGTTCAGCAAAAACCCACATTGTATTAACCTAGACAAAAACTAATTATACTCCGGTTTGTATCAGAACCAGGTCCAGACAAAATTCTCAATATATAAAAAAAGTTACGGGAAAAGGAGTTGTGTACGCACTGCCACCTTCGTAACAACTGCACAATCACCAGTAATACTCCCTAGACCAGATCTATTTCAAACAGATGTAGAAACACAGGTTACACAGCATTAAATGTTAAAACAACAACAACAACAACAACAAAAACCCAAGACTGTCACTCCTAGACATCATTAAAATGAGATATGTTAATTTTGCAGTC